GATATTTCGATGTACGTTCGCTGTGCTAGACTCGTCTTCTCCATAGTCCGACTTGAGTATCGTTCATGTATAACAACGTGCTGGCTATTAGTGTATGATATTTCTCATCTCACCGCTAGTGTGCACGGCGATCCAACCCTGTCATTCTAGCTTGATCACTCTGCACCGCCACCAACAGACTGCTTGAAGCCTTCCACCGTTCGGACTAGCTCAGACTAGCTCGGCGGCTGTGTTTCCTCCCTCGTTCCTCCAACAACGCTGGACATCCGAGTATCACCAAGCACTGCTAAGTATTGACACTATCTGCATAGGAATCATCGAGTATGTAATTTTACGCCCGACGCCGCCATCCTGATATCTGCGTTCGTAACACAGTACCGACCATTGTTCTGAGTCTTGTCCATCGTAAATCAATTCAAGCCTTGTTCATCGTACGGCGATCATCGCGTCTCTCCCTATTCATAGTAGACACACTTGGCATTGCCGCTGCAAACGATTCAAATGCACCACCCACAGACGAAGCCGAGACCACTTTTCCCTCTCTGGCAGTTGTATACTTCAGGCCGCATCTCCTGGCGCTCGTACATTATATGTGGCGGGTCGTCCGCGCGGCGAACCCGAAGTATTAAAAGAGAACTACACGCGGGGCCGGGAACTTGACCGACATGGATCACAGCAAGAGGGCTTGCCATAGTTGTCCTTTGTTCGGGCTAAACCCAGTGAGCCGTACCTGCGTACAATAAGTTTCAGCATACAAAAGCCTGCCTTTCCTCCGAGAAACCAGGACGTACGTTGGCTCCCTCTTGGGTTCCATCCACTGCGATGAAGAAGTTCGTGCCTGGCCAGTGTAATCTATGTATGAAGGGTAAGGACGATGATATGAGTCATCGCTGGACCTTGTTTGCCACTGTGTGCATAAGCCATCCGCCAGTCCTCACCGATAAGCATCGCCTGACGCGTCCATTTTGCTCCATTCAACCCTCCACGGAACAGGGTAGGGACTGGCGACGACCGCAGCCCTCTCCTTTGCAGGGGCTTCCACTGTGAGATACAGGGGCCGCCCGTCGAACGCCTCGATGCCGGACCTGATCGCATAGTCGGTGGTATCCCCGATCGGTATGAATTCCCACTGAGTAAGAATGCGCGTGTGTCATCTATACAGGACTGTGCTCGTGAGGTCTGCACACACCTGCTGATTGCGTTCTTTGTGCATGGACCAGCATTTGATCGCTCTTCGTCCCTGTGCGGACACATCGAGAGCCCTGCCTGCCGCGCCGTTGAGTAGAATATGCGGGCCGGGCCCAGGTGCAACGCGATTGCGGGCGACGGCACCCTCCCTCTCCAAATCGAGGCCGCCAACGACATGCGAGTTGAGAAGACTACGTCTCAGGCCCGTTGTGAAGTCACACCGACGGGCATACCACCGTTGGCATTTCTCTCCCTGCTTGTAGTGGATGAGCTGCACCTGCATCCGAACGCTGTGAGCCAGAGCGATCCTGTGCATGGTCGACGGGAGATGCCCGTACTCACCTTGCGGCCCGCATGATAGTCTAGGTCAACATGGAAGCGTGACGTGCACAGGCTATCATGCAGCGCATGGCCAACAACAGTTGTTCAATGTCGGACGACAGCCCAGTCAGATCTCCTCATACATGAGTGAATGAGAAGCGGCCGTACCGCACGATCTCGGAACCATTGTCCTCGCGTTTGCACGACACGTTCCAGACCATCGGATGGGTACCCAGCTTTACGATCTGCCCATCACTCAACTTCCCTTCAAACGTCAAAAAGGCGGGTCCATCGCGCTTGGCAAGAAGCGGCAGCCGGATGACGAACCCGCCAGAAAAAGGGATGAACTCCCACTGTCAATATGCATTAGCAATATCCATGACGCACCAAGTCGTCGCGAAGAAACGACTATGGCGCACCTGCTGAACTAGCAGCTTGTCCTCCGCGTATGGCTCTCCTACAACTTCGACGGCGTCCTTGACGGCTGTCAAGGCCTTTCCGTGATGGTCGTTGAAGAGGGTGTAGGTTCCCCCAGCGAATGGCGTTGGTGTCGACATGGCAGGAAGTCGGTGATAGAGTATGCGATGACCAGAGGGCAAGTTATATACTGTATATCCACGTCTACGGCCTGTCAAGAAACCAATAGTAGAGAACGATATGAATGCGGCTGCCTCACCTATCACACGCCGAACGCCTGAACGCGACAGGATTCATCTCGCTGAACTTTAGACCTCTACCATAGCACCGCAGTCCCCGTCTGCCTCGTAAACCGCGATCATGAATGAAGCACAACCTACCGCAGCACAGGGCACTCCAACTCCGCATTGCGATAGACGCTTCTGCGGAGGTCAGTCTGGTATGTCCACGCCGAGACACCGGCGACACAACATCGTTCTGATTCAGATAGCTATGCATAGGACATGTACTATAAAACAGACGGTCAACGTCGAGTAGCGCGCGCAAGACAAAACGAGATATATACTGGTACACAAGATCCGAACCAAGCCAGCCCCCTTCTGCACCCGCCGGCACACCCTTCACAGCCGCAGCCTCGGAAGGATCGTCACCCTTCACCGAATGCTCAAGATGCCGCTGTTCGTGCGGCCCAGCGCAGTCGAGTCCTTCGCCTCCTTGCTCTTCTTCACCTTCGGCGCCTCCCAGATCTTCCAGAACTTCAGGTTCTCGTCGCCTGCGGCAGTGCACACGAGCTCCCCGTTCGGCGCAAGCGCGCTGAACAGCACGCGCGAGTCGTGTGCGTCCCGGATCTCCGCGACCTTCTCCATCGAGGGGTAGCTGTGGACCATGATCGAGTTCGTGGGGTAGCCGTGGGTCGTCATGAATTCCTTCCTGTGCGGCGACCACTGGATAGAGGAGATCTGCGCGGGGGTAACGAGCGAGTGCAGCCGCGCACCGGTGGTCGTGTTCCAGATGTGAACTGTAGCATCCGATGTCCCACCTCCAGATGCCAGCAGGGAAGGCTGCCAGGGACACCAAGCCACCGCCTTTACCGCCGCCGTATGGTTGCGCTTCGTCCAGCGCGCAGCCGATCGCGCACTCGCGCTCGCGGTACCAACGTCTCCAATCCGACCATCCCAGACGTTGAGCACATTATCGTTACCACCGCTGGCAAGCAGTTCACCGTCTGAGCGCCATTTCAACCCACACACTTCGCCCTGGTGACCGAGGAGTTCCATGACTTTGTGCCGGGCGACACGCACGTCGTGGTGCCAAATGCTCCCATCCTGACAACCAGAGCTGAGGATGTGCTCGTGCCACGAGAGGCAGCCGACTTGTGCCGAGTGCCCAGCCATCGTCCGCAGCTTGGACTGGCTTTCGACGTCCCATAGCTCGACGGCGCCAGAAGGGTAGCCGACACCGAGGAATTGGCCGTCGTTCGAGAAGTCGAGCGAAGCAATGTAGGAGCCCTCAGGGCCTTCAGAAATCAGCGTGACTTCGCCCGTGTCCGCCTTCCAGATGTAGGCGCTGTTGCCGAGTGCAATGGCAACAATGTTCTGGGAGCTCCACGAGATGAGGTTGAGGTAGAAGTCATCGATCATTCCGGGTGCATCCAGGATCTTGTATGGGAACGTAGAGATCTTGCGATCCTTCCCCGTCGTACCAGAGCTACCAGCAGGTGCGGACCCAGCGCGAGCGTACAGAGGTCTGGCGAGTTCTCGGGCTTGCGCCATGAGGGGGTCGGAAGAGGCTGCCGGCGGTGGCTCATGGTAAGCCAGAACACGGCGGTTGAGTGGCACACCTGTGGCCGCCGCAAGACGTGCAGTGTGTCCAGGCGAAGCGGACTGGGGGTTGAGTGACATGAGGTCAAGTGTGGCTGCGACCTCATCAGCGGGGTCGCGGGTCGTGATGAAGCGGTCGCGGGTATCTCTCTGTGTAGGCGAGTCTGGTGGTGAGTCCATCATGGCTTGTTGAGAAGAAGACGATAACCAAGGGAGAGTATATATGTAGAATGTGCCACCGTTTCCTTCGACTCGCGATCAGTGGCACCTCAGGCGAGCTAATGCTCGAAAGGCTCAACCACATCTTCGAGCATCCACTAGAGCGGAGGCCGCTCCATCTCTTTGTCACCACACTGACACGGTGGGCCTAGGTCGAGTTCTTTCGCGTCCAGCAATCACACATTGTGATGCTAAATTCTCACTGAACATCTGAAGTCACCACTCTGTACGACGTGCACCCTACTTAGACAATGACGTTCATAGGGTTAAGACGGAGGGCTCGTTGAGGCTCAGGGCGGCTTGACCATTGATTGAGCAACAAGAGGCAATAAAGAGAGCTCCAGCCAACCTTCTCGAGTTAGCCCAGCCCTCAATACCCGTAGTACGGTTTCGGCATGCGGTCACATTGAGCGACCATGATAGCTCCCCAGGAGCAATAATGTACTAACGCATACTACCCAAAAGGTGCACAGTAACTCAAGACTTACCGAAGGTTGCGAACGCGACCGTTTCTCTGACTTCGGGGGAATATAATCGCGAGAGACGACGTCAAGCCGGCTCTCCACGCCTCCCTTGCGTATAACGCCTGAGCTCGCCTGGCGCTGTAAGGTTTGCGAAACTTGCAAAGTAGAGGACGTTGCACGTTTGATTGGCGAAGATGGTCTGCTGGGCACTATGAACGGATTTGAGGCGTCCGCTGCAGCATTGACCCCAAACATAGACGCAGTGAGGGGTGTCTTGGTCTCTGAGCGAGAGCGGTGCCGACTGGGAGTTTTGGGTGGTGGCGCCATCTTCTTCCCCAGAGCAGTAAATGGTCCCAAATAGTCTCAAGGAGGGCAGAGGAGGACGAGGAGAGGATGGTGGTAGTCGTGGTGCAAACAAGAGCAGCTTCAAGCGAGAGCGTGGTTCAAGCCGTAATTCGCTTAGCGCCCAAACACGCGGATCGCGTGTGCACGCGTCTTCACGCGTGACCGCGTCAGGCGATATCGGTCTGGCTTGCGCTGTCCATATATGGGTGTGGCTAAAAGTGAACATGGCGAGATGGCCGAGCGGTCTAAGGCGCCAGACTAAGGTTTTCACATGTTATCTGGTCCTCACGGGCGTGGGTTCGAATCCTACTCTCGTCATATGGTTTTTGCCCTTTTTCGCTGCCGCTGTGCACGCATTGGGGCGTTGGCGAGCTCTAGTCGGTGTGCGGCGCTTTCAAAAGCTTGAACGACTGACATCCTGATCACAACACAGATGCAACTGTACTATGACGGACAGACCCCCGAGCTGCGCGCAAGAGTCCGGGTCGAGTGCCCATAGCACCTCAATACCTCGGTAGTATAGCATGCCACTGAGTATTGCCGCACTTGTTTTATCAAAGCCTGTGGAGGAGTATATACTGAAACGTCACTCAGCTACGGCCGTTGACGTCGAGACCCGCTGCTACGCCGTCACATATTCAACGAAGATGTGATTGGCCCGTTTGTGGCCAAGTTGGGTTCAATCGTCACTATTCGCTCGCGACGTCAGCTGCTGAGTATGTTCAAGGCCCATGGCCGCCCTCAGCTCATAAGACACCACGGTCCCCTCATGCTCAACCCCCGCTCCGAGGTCAAACATCGCTATCACCACATTACTATCCGGTACACTCCTTCAACTAGACTCGAGAATGCGCTTTCCGCGCCTATCCCACCTCTTCCACCGACGGACCAAGTCGGATTCTGAACTCGTTCGTCTCGCATCGGCACCCATTGCAGCACCCGCGACGCGGCCCATATCAACTACCCAGTTGGTGGCTTCAGGATCGACTTCGTCCACCGATGTCTTTGCTGCCTACGTTCCTACCGCACCGACTCCGTTAGACGGGCAGACGTCCCACTGGCAGAGTGCCCACCATAATTCTCTTCCTGCGTCCTTCCACCACACTTCGGCCGGCCATCAACGGAGCGTCGTTTCGGTCTTAACCCATCGTATTCGCGATCTTGAAGCAGAGTTACTGGGTGAGCGGGAAGCACACCAGACTGCACTGGAAGCGAACCAGGGTCTTGCGAGCAACATCTCGGTTTTGCAATCCGAGATTCTCCATCTTCGCCGCGAGCTCTTCTCTGCGCTCGCCAGCGTTCAAGATGGGCCCTCTCCTTCGAACTCGGACCAGCAATTCCAGGCCGAAGCTCTCGCTTCCGAGAACGCCGTCCTCTCAGCAAGATGCGACCGCCTTAAGCACTTCCTTGACCTCATGGTTGCAGCGGGAGAACCAAAACCCGTAGTCGGAGCTGCGTACCGCGACGTTCTTGAGGGAGAAGACCCAGAGTCCGCGCTCGTTGCAGCTATCAAGGCCGCTATGGCGCAGCCTGACAGCGTCTGGAGACGCCTCCTCGAGCCGGTCACGGGCGTGCGGACGCAGACCGACTACCTGGCGCAGGTGCGATGTACGCTGGACGCCCGAGCTCAGGCCCAGGACTGGCGGAAGCGGGCGAAGTTCTGGAAACGCGCAGCACAGGAGGATGGCAAGCACGGGGACACGGTCACGCCTTCTGTATCAGCTATCTCGCAGGTCGTCGACGTGCTTCCACGAGAACGATTGGTGAGAGTAGGCGAGATGCTAGAGAGCATGAAGGCGGGAACCCTGCCTCTACGTGTCCTGCGTGTGGGAAAACACACGCCTAGTGCTGCGTCAGAACCTCACTACGATAAGTCGCTTCCAGCAGACGACCATGTCATTTCCGCATCCCAGTCTTCGCTCGCCTTGACTTCGTCCAATTCAGCGAGTCATTCTCACAGAGACATGGACATTGGCGTCGAACACGAAGATACACAGGCCATGAATCCTCCTACTTCCATACCCGCGAGTTCATCTTCGATGGTTCTGCCCCTCACCAGCTCTGCTTCTACCACACGCCTACCGCTTCCCACACATAGTAACCTCCCACCGCTGGCAAGCGAGGTCTTCCGCGCGAGCCACTCAATCAAGAGCCTCTCCTCGCGCGGCTCGCGCCGGAGCTCCCTCGGAAGACACGTCCTCGCATCTTCATGCTCTAGCGTCAGCGCATCGCCCGGTGAGAGAAACACTTGCGACAGCATCCCGGCTTCGATCTCTGCGTCCACACAGGACTCGGCCAAGTCGCGCCGCCGCCGTGCCAAGATCATCGCCGTCCCTGTCGCCCCGGCCTCCGGTAAGGCCAGCGAGGACGCATTAGCCGCATCGACGACCCAAAGCACCTCCCGATGGTCGTTCTTTGCCCCCTCCGCTTCCGCAGCGTCTGCTGTCTCCTGGCTCGTCAATAGCGCCCCTCCGCCCACTGTGGAGCCTCACCAACGCCCGATAGCCTCCAGCTTCGAAGAAACGACCACAGCATCTGGCTCAGTCGACGCTGCGCCCTCGTTCGAGTTTTCTGTAGAGACGGCGTCAGACGATCCGACGCCACGCACGCCTACCCGTCTCTCCGCCGCCTCCCTGCCCAAAGCGCTCCTCGACTTCAGCAGCAGCCCAGAGGACGACCTCGTGCTCGTCCTCCACAGCGACTTCTCGAGCTCGCCCTACCGCGCGCCCTCCGCCTCACCTACCCCAGATGCCGCTCGCCCAGGGCTGGACAGTGCAGGCTCGACCCCGGAGAAACGCTCGCGCCTCCCGGTGCGTATGCCCGGGCTGAAGGCGATCAAGCGCTTCTCGGCGTCGATCGCCATTTCGCGCCCGGTGCTCGTGGACACGACGAACACGGCGAGCTTCGCGTTCACGACTGCCCCTGCGGGATCTGTGCCTGGGAAGCCTATCGCTCAGGACGGACACAAGGCGAGGACAAGGGCCCCGAGCGTGGTGGCGAGGTCGGCGGGGGCTACGGTCACTAGCCTCTCTCCGCCGCGTCCAAGTAAGATCCCGATGGGGAGGCGGCTGCAGAGGTTCGCTATCGGAGGGCAGGCGTAGATCTCAGTCGTGATTCGCGCCCATGTAGAGTAGATGTAACATAGTTCAGTGTAGCGTAGCTATTGTATCAGTAGACAGTTCACTTAGATAACTCAGTATCTTGTACTACTACTCGCGTTGGCGAGAGGCAGGCTCAACATCTGACTGAAGATTCACCTTATAGTATTTAAAAGAGACAATCGTCCCGGGTAGGAGAAACAGTCAGTAAATTGGAAGTAGTAGATGCCAAATCTCCCGGGTCATCGCCGGGTCATATGCGTGTGGGAATCGCATGCGTCGCCTTTGACAAGGACGAATATCGTGGTGCATTCACTTCAGAGACCATGTTTACAGCTCGTTGGGTGGACGTTGCTCCAAGCTCGGCATCAGTGGGAAATCCGTCACGGTCATAGTCATCACGCCGTTAGGTGGACCTGTTGGAGGGGTCCCAGTTAAGCCAGCATCGCGTGCGTACATGAGCACTCTCACCTCTGCCACGGCCTGCTCGATCCTCGCCTCCACCGTCTTCGCAAAGGCCATCGCGTTCCGGAAGATACACTTCGCGCAGGCCGGACAGGCCGTGGCCGCGGGAGCGATGACAGGTTCAAGGAGCTCGGGCTCCAAAGCGCAGGGTCCCCACGGGCGGCGTTCCAGCGTCTTTCCGAGCGCATCGAGGTACGCAATCCATGAGTTGCGGACGCTCACGTAGACCGTCGCTGGCTTGCCCTCTACCTCCGTCACCGCGACCGTGCGCGTATCCGACGCGCACCTCCCGGTGCACGTCACGGCGAGCATCGACCAGAGCTGTGGACGCTCCGCGATCCAGCCAGGAAGGTGAAAGACGTTGCCGTCCTGCTGAGGCGCCGACACGACAGAACGCGCGACTTCGCCACACCGGCTCCGGTACTGCAGAAGCTTCAGGTAGTCGAGGCCGGAGACGTCCTTGAGAGCGTCGAACGCCCCGTGGTCGATGGCCTGGAGGCGCAGGGTACGGCGAGCAGCGATCTGGGCAACGTCGGGCAGGCCGTACGCACTAGCCATGAGGAACACCCGGCACGGCTCCGTTTCGAGTGCCGTAGGCTCGACGAGGGCGTAACGCACGCGCGTAGCGATCGCGGGGATGCCGTATTTGAGGCCGATCTCTACCAAGGAGGAGACGTCGTCCAAGGAGTAGGGCCACTCCTCGTCCACAAGACACACGCGGAGGAACTTCTCCCACACCGCGCTGAGCTCGGAGACGTTGATCGACGGCTTGAATTTAGGATCCGACACGGCTGTCGACGGAAGCAAGCATTCCAAGCGCGAGCTGAGGACGGCGAGTCGTCTTCTTGAGACGTGGAAATCGACCCCGTCTGCGGTGCGGATTATGATGTCTCCAGCAGAGGGGTCCGTGTAGGGAGGTACCTCGCGGATGACGGGGAAAGCGGGCGGTCCAGCGATGGCCATGTTGTAGTATCTATCAATGGGGAGCATAACACAAGGGGGCGTAGGCAAGGGAGAACGCCTGAGGCTCGAGGAGACAATATCACAGCAGGTGCATGAGCGGCACTATAACTGACCTGTTGCGCATGCTTGCAGTTACCGCAGCTACCGTGGGCCTGGAGAAAAGTGACATGAGGCCAACGCAAGGGGCCCGGAATGAAAGAAACGGCGGCTTCCCTGGTATCAGCAGCCTGCACGCATGCACTGTGAGTACCTGCCACTTACGATCGAGTTCTGAATGCCGCGCAACATGCACCCTCAATTTCCAGCGCCGCTTTCAATGTGCGGTATATGCTTCACAGTCCTGAGCTGCAGCAGCCAGTTCTTCTGCAAACAGTCGAAGAAGCCAGGAACGAGGCATCAGCACAAGTTTCATTGGACATGTACCGCGGCTCGTTTTCGGATGAAGGTGCATACAGCTGTAAAAACCTGATATGTGAGATCAACTCGACGCTAAGTATTACATCTCACTGTAACAAGAGATCAAAATGGCCCACAGTTGCAAGACTGGCGCTTGTTCAGTCCGCTCCCTCCGAGTCATGTTGTTGAGTGACGATCAGTCCTTGCGACTTGTTCTCACCGTACCACGAAGCTTCGCTCCTAACATGCTTGATGACAGGTGAATTGCCACATGGGCTTTGTTGTAGAGGAAGCTCTCAAAATGCCATATACAGTCAAAAACCGTGCAACGCAACACCACCGCCCAACGCAACGCCTTCCCGATATAGTATATTCCAGCTGATAAACGCCGTCTTA